TGTGTTCATATGGAAGGATGGATAATAGCAGGTAAGGATAGACGGATAGACGGAGGAATGGGTAGCCGAACTGGTGCATTTCTGAAGAGACGARCGAATAGAACGACAGACAGACGGACGGACGGATAGACGGATAAACAGACATACGGCTGGAAGCGATTGACTACATCAGGTCTATATGAGTATTATAGTATAGTGAAACACTTCTGGAAGGATGGCTGGAAAAGGTATTCAATCTGAATTAGATCAAGACTTTAACTAGATCTCTGACTGAATTTTATGACAATAATCAAGCTCAAGTTCTCTTTCTATCTGAGATATATGTGACATATATACCCTAACATATATATAATAATATTCCTCTACCCCAACTCTAAGTCGGCACTTGAGACACCTGAACAAAGCTGGCCAAAAAAGCGGTACGCCTGCTTTACCCCGTTTCAAGTACTCGTTGAACATGAAAATCAAACACGTCACGGCAATTAAAAGCGACCAAGCTGGTCAAGCTCAAATCCACACTCAAATTCGATACAGAGTAAACAGAGAAACCGAAGCACCGAAGAAGAGGAAGACGAAGAAAAAACTAAATAAATAACCGAATAACGAAAGCGCTTAAATGTTTTGCCTTGCCAATTGAGCATTCCAAGTAAATTTTTTGCTTCTTTTTTATTTTTTTTCCTGACCTGATAAATGACAAAGGCGCCCATTTATTAACCTTAACTACAATTATGGCTGCTGACCACAGGCAGGCCGACTGGCAGGACTTGGCTTTGGTAACGGTTACAGCTCCGACTCGAACTTCCATTCTGATTCCGGCTCCGGCTCCGGCTCCGGCTACGACTACGACTGAGGCACTCTGCATGCCAAATGCGAGCATTAACTGCCATTAGTTGTGGCCTRTGTGTGTGTGTGTGGCAGCTGATGATGCGGCATGCGGCATGCGGCTCAAACTTTTCCACTTTGCAACTATTTCAAAAGTAAAACGAAACTTGGCCAGCCTCCTGCAACTGCTGTTCCTCGCACTACCCCTACGCCTCCTCCTCCTCCTCCTTTTCCTGCTGCTGCTGCTGCTGCTACTGAACACTGTCAACGCTTTTTTGGTGCCAGCAACTGACGTCGATTTCCAATGCGATTCATGTCTACTGACCCGCTGCTTCTCTACCCACCAGCACCACCACCTCCTACTCGACTGCCTGCTGCATGATTTATGATTTTGCCAAAAGTATTTCTGTGGTCAGCAGCAGCAGCAGCAGCAGTCTAGAGCCTCGAGTCTCGAGTCTCGGGCCGTCCGACATACAAAGTTGTCTGCTCAAATCATTTTAATTGAAAAAAATTACACATGAACGGAGCCAAAAACTGAAAACGAGAATAAAAATTCTACTAAATGGCAGCAAATCAGCAAAAAGCCCAACACCGAAGACAGAATGCGCTCATCGAGCAATTGAAAATCATATTATAAAAGGGAAACAAAATGCTCTACGAGATGGTTAAAGAAAAAATAAGTAAAGTGAAGAAAATAGAAGAATAAAGGAGAACATAGAAGAGAAGAGAAGAAAACAAAAGAGTGGAAGAAGAAAGGGAACAGGCAGTATGAAAAAAGGATAAGAAGAAAAGATAACTAAAAGTGAAGTGAAGCAAATATTAGATATAAGAAGAAAAGAAAAACAAACCGAAGGGAAGAGTAAACAGAAGCTAAGAATAAAGAAACAATGAGTCAAGAGAAGAAAACAGAAGGAAAGAACGATTAAAAGAAGAGGGAAGAAAAAAAATTAAACCAGGAAAAGGAGATAAAAGTATGGGAGCAAATAAAACAAGAGAACAGAACAGAGGAGAATACGCGAAACGAAGCACAGAACACAAATGAGAGGAGAACATAAGAAAAGAGAGAAGAGCAGAAAGAAATGAAAAATAAAACAGAAAGAGAAGCAGAAAGGGAAAGAGAAAGAAAAAAGGAAAGATAAAGAGAGAAGGAAACAGATAAAACTAGCAAGTGTAAAAAAGAAAAGAAAAGAGAATATAGCGGAAGAGAAAGAAAATACCAAACAAAAGAAGAGCAAATGAGGGAAAAAGAGAAGCAACAGGGGAAAAAAGGAGAAAATAACTATAATCGAGAGAAGAAAAGAACTAACGGAATAATGGAAATAATTACCATGATCTATGTCAAAATTAAATATACAACACATCCGTAACACTAGATGGCGCCATCTATGGCTTCAACAGCAAACTACGGGTTAGTACAAAAAATCGATCCTCTATATCAAAGCATATATTAATCAGGAAAATTAAACTTTGGCTCCCGTCGAAGCTCAGCACAAAACGCAGAAGCCTTTTCTATCGAAAGGGCAAAGAAATATATATATCCAGTGTGTTCATGTGTAGATCTCTTTATGAGTGCCGGCTCGTTCTGTCTCTCTCTCTCTCTCTCTCACTCTCTCTTACTCACTCTCTCTCACTCACTGCTGTCAAGCTTATATGCCCTTCAGCTAGACAGGGCACAGAGTATGGGCTTGGCCATGGCCAGTGAGCTCTTGTGTGTGTGTGTGTGTGTGTGTGAAGGCTAGAGTACCTCAGCTCCGTATCTGGGGGGGGGGCATTGGCTGTGCCTAGGCCTGGCACGTTCGCTAGCTACCGGAAATGTCCATTCACTTGCATATTAACAAAGTTCCGCACAGGCAGCGGACTGGACTGCTTGCATATACTTGGCAGTACTTAATAAACTCCCGGGACACAACGAGTGAAAATGACGAGCAGACGGACTGACTAAGAGCCATATGTGTGCGTGTGTGTGCACGTGTGTGTGTGTATGTGTGTGTGTATAGCTGGGCATTCCCCAGCCATTGCCCAACTAAGTTGCTCGTCCATCACAAATGAAGACGAAGAGTGACGGGACGGGCAATGCAAGTCACAGTGGCCTTTAGAGTGGCCTTTCCATAGCATACAACTGTGCGACCGCCTGTGGCGCTGCCCCGTCTCCGTCGCCGTCACCGACACCGACGCCGACTCTGACTGTGGTTGTGGCTCGACTTAACTGAAACAGGAAAGTATTTCGAAGGCACCGGAAACCGGAAGCAAGCAATAATTCAAATGAATTTCAAATCAAATCATTACAAAACATTTACAAAGTATGCGCAGCAAGCTGCACAAAACCGCACGAATCCCCCAAGCAACAACCGGAGACGTAGACTGAGACGGAGGCGTACGCGGAGACGTAGACGTAAACGTAAACGGAGCCGGAGCCGGAGCCAAAGTCGGGCGCCCGCAGCCTTCACTTGCATGCCATGGCAATAGCCTTGAGACAGGACCTTGGGACCACAATCGTACACCCAGCGCCACCTATCGGTGGCACTTCTAGGCAACTGCAGCAGGTGGCCAAGTGATTAATTTCTATTATTATGACACTGATTAGGGCCACTTACAAACTCATTACAGTCATGAACACACACACACACCAACACACACAGCGAGAGAGGATGGGAGAGTGTGGGCCTGCTCTGGGCACATTTATCAAGCCATTGGCCGCCACATGGAGCGGCCGTTTGTCTTGCACTTGACCAGGTCCAAAACCAAAGCAACTAAATCAACAGGCAACTGCAGCGCCCGGAGGCCGGCGCCATATGCCACGTGCCACGTGCCACGCGCCACACCAGTTGTCAAGGCCATTAAAGTGCCGGACTTGCAAATGCAACGGCAAACATCGAGCACGCCATTGGGAGATATCCCAGATATTATGTTAAGTATGTGATTCGAGAAATGGAGCAACTTTCGATTGAGAAACTCAAGGTGGATAGATGAGAAACTTGTTAAAGATGAGATGATAAATAGTTATAGCACAGAGAGAGAGCGAAAGAGAAAGATAGAGAGAGAGAGGGAGAGAGAGGAAGCAAGAGGGGGCAAGATATAGAGATAGAGATGGAGATAGAGATAGAGATAGAGATAGAGGTAGAGATAGAGATAGAGATAGAGATAGAGATAGAGATAGAGATAGAGATAGAGATAGAGATAGAGATAGAGAGGGAGGGAGAGTGAGAGGGAAAAAGATATAGGGAGAGATAAGAAACGATAAAGAATAGTTTATGGTTATGTTAGTTATGGTTTCCCCGACTAGGTGATACCCTGACCGCAGCAAAAAGATAGATAATGTCGTTAATAAATTTCATTGAATAAATAAAAATAATTTAATTTCGTATATAAACTTCAAAAAAAAAAGGTTTTATAATAAAAGTC